GGAGATAGACGGATCATTGATGAAGGATGTTCCGACTGCGTCGTTTGTTGAAAATTCGGTTGCGTTGCCTCCGTCGAGTCGAAGATGAAAAGGTCCACACCTGTGTATTAAACACTTTCTGTGGACTAAATTCCTATCAGGTTTTCAGTGGGCCGTGGTGAAAAACGGGTATGTGATCAAATGTCTCCGGGTAGCATTTGGGATTGGCTTGACCAGCTCAACTTATCCTTAGAAAGTCGATAGAGTTTGGTTCACCACACAACGGAGAAACATTCTGCAGGGATTGATCTGACCTCAGCTTACGCCATGAGACCTGAGGCGAGAATCCGTGAGAGTCGTAAAAAGATACTTTTATAACTCTGACCAACACACGGAGGTTCTCATGGTTCAGGTACAGCACTTGGGTTTGATATGACCAGCCATTACTCAGCGGAATATTGTACTAATGAAACCACAGTCCCAATGGACCATGAAGGATTTTTGGGTTTTCCCGGACAAACATTCTCAGTCATTGACGGTGATGTGAGGAGACATTATAAGTTTCAATAGGGATTTCATCCTATCAGTGAAGCCGGTGTATGCTGAAAATGAAGTGCGCAGTACCACCATTCTTTTCTTGTTAAAAATTATGTGCAATGTGCATCTCTTTAAAGTCAGCAAGTGGCTTGATACTTGACCGTTTGGCTAAGAGAGTCTAATCAACGGTGTGATTAGCCCTCGCTTACAGGAGACAGTTCCTGACTAAGTGAGAGCTTGTCACACTGCTGATTAGACGTCCACGGCCAAACGGTGAGTTATTCAACTATTAGCTGGAAACTCGTGGGTCCAAAACTCTCCGAGTTTCAACAGATTTGCGTTGCAGATGGTTTCCAACCGGAATGAAACAGCGGTAAACTGCTTGTCGGTTTTTCAGCATACACTGACTTCACAGTCAGCATGAAACTTCTATTGAAATTATTCATTCTTGTTAAGAGATATCAAATGCGGTGGTGACTAAATTATCTGGTTGGCAGTTCAAACTACTTTTTACATAGCATTTAGGATAACATACCATAATTACACAACCTATTTGTGTAGAAGCACCTTTCTGCGTGTGGCTGCTCATCGCACTTTCGAACGGCGTGCTGCTCCATTTTTTCCGGTTTTGTTTACTTTTTGTTATTGCAAAGTCACTCATACGGACTCACTTGCCTCGTTTGCATTCATCACAAGAGTGCGTAACTACCATCTGGTTTATCGCCGCTAATGTTTTCACAGTCTGGCCCGCAAGTCGCATGTGGTGTCTGTTCTGAGTTTTATTTGTTTAGCTGTCTTTGGCACCTGATTAAACTTTGTTCACCAATTGCCTTCTGAGGCTACTATTCACTCGGTAATCGTAACCATCCCGATTAAGCATTAGCTGGAAAAAATACATAATAACGAAAACAATCAATCAGACACCAATCAAGTTATCATACGCTGTTACATTTGTCAGCCGTGAAGACACGAAAGATGTTTATATGCGTTGGCACAACCTGTTGAGAGTTATCAACGTGCATCTTTGGGTCTATTCCATTATAAACGAAAGCTTATAAACGAATAAGCTTTGTGGTATTTTAATTCTACTCAAACTTTCAAAGAACACAATGATACTGAGTCTAATCACACCTAAGGAAAATATGAGGCCCTGAGAAGGAAAAGCGGGTTGTTTGTATTTCTCCGCGTTTTACGGAGACAAATACCACGAGAACTTCGCAGATTGAAAGTATATGGTTCATTTTTTAAAAATAACATCTGATATGCTCGATGAAGCGCGACAACGTAGCTACCTCCAGGGCATGATACACAAGGTGAGCAAAACGAGGGGTGGTCGTTGGCTATTGTACAGGATATGACCAGAAGCTCTGAAAAAAGCAGCATAGAAATGAGCCTGGGGATGTTGGACACACAAAACCTCTCCCCCAGATCTACACCGGTGTTCTTCCAATGAGGCGTCTGTCACTTACACAGAAGTGTTCTGAATCATGGGGTTACTACAACTCAAGATTGTGCGCAAACCTACACGCAACTTGTGATCACTCTACTTGCATACCACCTATCAATCAGCGATTGTTCGGTACAGGGTTTTTGATGTCGCTCGCTCTTGAGACTGGAGGGATACTGGGAGCATTCCCGCAACAAATAATTAAAATGAGACTCCAGAAGTATATTTATCAGGTGGGACTTTAGGTGACCAACCGACATTTACTGATCAAATTTAACGGCACATCTCTAGGTCTTCAAGGATGAATCTGAATATTCCCCATAGTTAGGGATATAGGTAACTAACCGGAGCTAACCTGTGACCCAGTTTTGATATACATATGTAATGCACGGATTCTGCGTTTTTTGCAAATATTATGGCCGTATTTGTCTCTTTAAATGATATAATCAGGATTAAAAATCAGCATGACTGCCTCTGAATGCACAAATCCACGGCAAAACTCGTTACCGAGGGAGGGTTAATAACTGAAGGGAAAAAATTCTTCAGGAATGCACTCGCAAGCAAGGGAACTAACTGCGCGATGGACGTTTGTCAGCCTCGAAATTTGTGTAAGCTTGAGTTTGCGTGATGTCCGGAACGCAACCCTACCAGTCCAATTTAGGATGAAAATTGGCCCATGGTCGTTCTATTCAGCAGCTGCGTTGCTGCATCCGATAATGATACCAAGGATTCCATCTCCTCCAATATTCTTCATGAAACCACATCCGACCTGTGACCTCTGAGCAATTCTGCACAAAACGCCTTTGCTCAGCTGAATAATCCCTAGACGTTTCCAGAACAGCGAGAAAGTAACATCAGCAGTTATAATGTAGCAATAAGCCATCATACCACCATATTTTGATATAGCCTTGACAACATTCACTGGCTCTGTGTTGAACCATTAAATGCAGCACCCGAACTGAATGTACGCCAACCAATGAATGAATAATGAGAGGGAGTCCCACTAAAGAAGAAGGGATGCTTGGATTAGATCGGCCATTGGAAGTCCCATACGCACTACTTAAGACAACTATATAACTCCGCAATGGGAGTTGTACCATACATGGGACTGAAACGAAGGCCAGTCTATACCAGATGCTTGTATAATCGCCAACACACTTCCATCTGAAGGTAACTAGGTTTCTCTCCCTAACTCGGGATTTTCCCGCCCCTCAGAATAAACATCCGACTTCACATACATATGTCAAGAAAACATGGAGTCAAAGCGCTTGTTGAATATTATTTACTAACTACGACCACAGTAGTATAACAGCACCCTGCTTCACCGTAGGTTCAAGCAAGACCTCGCTACCTCGAACGGATTATTTTCTCATGATAATGAAAGTCGAACGTGGTTAAAACTGTAAAACGACACATCAATCGATAGGGTGGTTACATCATAGGCACAGCCTGCAAATTTATACCCAAGTCGAGATGTGAAGCCGAGAGAGTCTGTTCGAAATTAAGAAGTCCCGTCAAGTCAACATACCGCAGCCAAGATCGCTGGTTAAAATAGGCTATTCGATAATTTAGTCCTTCTGAAACATTACAAAAACTTAATATGTCCGAATTTGGTTTAACACTTACGGAGCTGCACTACAGGGGTTTAATCACATTAGCACATACCGCGGACTTAGTCGTTGTTTGTTTGTATCTATAGGTGGGCCTTCAAGGCTATCATATAAGGACGAACAGCATCCAAAAGGTAGTAGCAAGTCGCGTTGGCCAGATGGACGTCGAGAATCATAGTTTGGAGGCACGGTACTGCATCTAACGACTCCACCTCCGATACGATCACGTGACTAAGTACAGCAACCCCACTCCAAGCTATTCAGTTCTCCATAAAGTGATCATTCGCCTAATACGACCACATTCACGTGGATGCCTTGAGGTGTCAATAAGTAGGAGCACTGTAAAGTCGTCAAAAAAGTAAACAGAAGATCTAGTTGGGAAAAAAATCCAGTAATTTCGTAGGGACTGATTGTCTCACTCTGGAGCGAGAGATTAGAGAGCACCGCATCAGTGCGTTTAGAAAGTGCATTTTCCCCAGTGATCACTGACTACTTCCGCTACAGTAACATAAGCCGTTATTCAGTAACTTAAAGACAGTTGAGCATCCGTCTCATAGCTGAAGCCTCAGTCACTCAGGTGGTAAAGAAATATAAATCGTTCAGTTTATGTGCCTAACTTCCACGCCACCCTAAAAAAGTACGAGAGCTGGGATACTGCCAGGTTGCCCAGGTCAAGATGTAGAGACCGACTTCGAAACACGGACCTTCTCGCCAGTAAATTCGCGCTCGAATCACTGGGCCATCTCACCTGCATTAAGGTGATCGCATGATGGTTGTCCTACTCGTTATCTTCCTCAAAATAAAAGCATATGAATGCAGAATACAGGCATTTATCCAAACTGCAACGACAGAGCAGATGTTCGGGTGAGGTATAACTCCGCCATAGGAATTATCTCACTGAGACTCTCAACTGTGTTGAAATTCGGTGGGCGCAAATCCTTCCCTAAAGGGAACTAGAAGAATCGCAGTCGAAATAGTCATAAACTCCTTGTTCCGGCTCAATTTGGGCGAATCCAAGTGGATCTACATTAAAATGCGAGGATGTCGAAGTCATGGTGAAATTTTAACTTGCTGTATGATTCGAACGGCAGTAGAATGCAGTCTGCAGTTTCAGCTGACACTAAGTTTGGCTTCCTCTGAATATAGAACTCACAGAGAAGCCGGTGCATATTCTTACGCATCCACAACCATGTCCAATACAAACAACCTAGTATTATATTGATACTCTCAATGCTTGTCGTGTAATCTGAACAGCCGTTTCGCGTGCTAAGAGTGTCCTAAAAATCCAAGAGCATGGTTTTCAGTCACCACTGAATTTGTGGTCGTCCCATAATTCGAAGGTATATAAAGGTTTAGTCGAACCACCCGGAAGCTGTGTGCCGCCGAGGTTCCAGAAGATCACAACTACTTTTCTTTTCAAAAAATTACTGGCTTTATCTTTGACTCAAAAACGCACGTAGCACAACCATAATAGCAGGACGAGATTAATAAAATACAAGAAATAAAAAAGGAACTTTGAAGATGAAGTGAAAACGCCGACAGTAGCTTCATTCGCCGAATGTAGGTGGTTGCGGAAACACAACATCTGCCAGTTTGAGTGCGGTAAGACCACGCGCAACAGAGCAAGAGAGTTCAATCCCTGAGGTGTCACACAGTCACTAGGATGAAGACAATCCAAACTGAGCAGAGATCAATATATAACAAGTAGTAAAATGAACCGGGTCCAAATGAATAGCTGAAATCATGTACTTTGAGTTAATCAGCTGTACAGGATCTAGACTATGGCGTAAGCGAAAAATAACTACAATTCTCCATCAGGTATAGGGTCATGGTTACACAATCTCGCGAGTACTTCAGGAAGTTCTGCTCGATGTCGAATTTCGTCCATCGAATAGTCCTTTAACAACACGCCGTTCTCAAACACGGGTACAAGAATATCCTAAAGAAAAATGAAAATACACAGGAATGAGAGGACTTACAGATAAATACGACAGGAATGAAGTTTGACAAAACGATCGACAAAAAAGACGTAGTTAACCGAGTGCCAGAAAGAGCCGATCCTACTTGGCGCATCTTATAAAATCAGGAGGCCAGGATAACGAATATTGTGGAGTAGGGAAAGAATCCATTGTAGCGGTCATTTCACCAGGACGAATTACTGAAGAAATTCTATAGCTTGCCAATGCCATGGGTTATCGCTTTTATCTGATGATCACGAAAATGCTTCCTGGAACTGTTGATCGCGTAAGAAGGTTCAAAAAGTACACTTCCGATATGCCTGCTTCAGTTTATTTGCGATTTGATAGGGAAAAGACAGAGGGATTAATGTTTGGTATGCGGTACGGTTTGCGAGTAACTTTAAAGCTGTTCGGTTGCAGTCAAACCGTATAGGTGACCACAATAACGGTGTTGAGTACATACATTAATGTTTTCTCGCAAGTACCGAGTGGTTGAACCTGTTCAATACTCATCATGCCTAGGTGTTCGTTGTACGTGTGAATGAGGACGATGATAACGGTTAGGTAAGTGATTGACGGTAACTTGAAGTGTGTGCCTCGAAAGTCTTCGGGTAAGAAAGAACTCTGTGAATAAAAATGTTTATCCCGATGTGCTTGGTTATGGATAATCCTGAAACTCTTCCGTAGAAACACACAAGATGCAGTATACGAATATCTAATGATGCGTTTTAGGTAGTGACAGAAGAATGAACAAGAGTCGCAGAAATCCCACTGCATGATTTCACCAGAAATAACTTCAGTGGGTAAGAGTCATCCCCAGAACTCAAACGAACTGTCATCGCTTTTAATCTGTAGTATACATGTCTGCTAAAGAATGCGTATAAGGAGAAACGATGGGAGCTCGAATAATGGTCGTTTAAGTCAAGGGTTCACCAAGTGATCTACTCCCACCCCAGTCAGCCAGTGAGTTAAATGAAATTCACACCGGGAAGCCTTCCAAGATATTTGCAGATTGGTCAAAGGATGGCTGTGTGGGACCCCATTCAGATCAAACGTAAAAACCCTGACGAACAAAGCCATCGGAGGGCTTTATTCGGCAAAACACGCGCGCGACCACCACTCCAGTGGCAAAACCTTCAGGTAACTCTGACAAGACAACGTTGCGGAATATAGGTAGCTCGAGTGCGCTGCTTGGTTGTTGGTTTATTCGCCGAGATTGGGAGCTGGATTGCAAACGTTTCATCACCAATCGAGGTGACATTGTCAGTGCCGGGTTGGCCGGACTGATTAACCCAATCAACCTTGCAATAACGATGTCACCTCGATCGATGATGAAACATTTGCAATCCAATTGCCAGGCCCAGCGAACAAACCAACTCTGATAAGCCCAGAGTAGGCCAAATAAAAATGAATCGGGAAACTTGACGAACAAGGACCATCGGCAAGGGAGATCATACACCTGGACCCCCTAAGATACGACAATAAATTCAAGGGGAAGTACTTGGAACGCGGGAGACAGCATTCGATACACGAACAAGACGGATTCTCGGTAAAATATCCCTCTACTAAAGAAATAGAAAGAATAAAAATGAATCGGGAAACTTGACGAACAAGGACCATCGGCAAGGGAGATCATACACCTGGACCCCCTAAGATACGACAATAAATTCAAGGGGAAGTACTTGGAACGCGGGAGACAGCATTCGATACACGAACAAGACGGATTCTCGGTAAAATATCCCTCTACTAAAGAATATAGCAAGAACAGGGTAACGTAAGCATAGTGGGATGCGAAAAAACCTTAAACACTTGGACCAGGGAGCAAAGCTTCGAGTGCTGACAGAAGTATGCAACTTACGGTAGAGAAAGACAAGTTGAAAAAACTAATGAACTGTTTACGAAACAAAACCCAAACACGAAAATAGATTTGTTTTAGAGTGTAGTCCTGTGTCCAAACGACGGTAAACAGTTAGAAACAAAACTGAAAGAACAAGTGACGTTACTTTAGTCGCGCATCCTAAGCCTTCCTCGATGGTTATATAGTCCCCTTGTTCTTCACAGTATTCCAGTGTGAGGCGACCCTTCTTTGACGTCTTCTGCAGATCCGTGATGGGATGTTTAAATACATCAGCCTATGAAGTCAATAGAGAGAGAAAAACCGGCGTGTGTGTATGTGCGCGGAGAAAAGACAATAATTCTATGCATATATTGGGCAGAGGATGTGTCGTTTAACTTACGGGTTGTCCGTTTACGACAGCATGACTACACTTAAAGGCGCATTTCTGTGTGTCACGGTTGAGTTGCTGTAGCAGAGCTCCACCACTTCCGAAAGCGACGTTCTCCAGGCTCCACCCGGCTGCTTTGATGCTCTCCAAAATGGGTTCTGCGAAGGACGGAGGTATGAAAATAAGTAATGTAACAGTCGACGAAGGAGGTCACGTCTTACTGCAGAAAAGAACGGAAAAAGTCTAAAAACCAGTCAGTTCTGGAGTGTTCGCATAAAGCAATTAAGTCAGGGAAGAAAGTGTGTGCGGCACTATGAAAATACTGATAATATCGTGAACGAACACAGCACTCTATTACCAAGACATTGGTGTGTGTTCACCGTCGTTCAGCTGTAGCGCCCTTTCGGTGCCTAATTACCATGTCACCCGAAGGTTGTACGAGGGCTGAGATACTGCCAGGTTGCCCAAGCCTAGACAAGGGAAGTCGAGAGGCAGAGGTGAGGTTCGAACCACGGATCTTCCGGTCAGTAAATTCGCGCCGTAACCAATTGGACCATCTCGCCCCGTGTCCACCCAAGCGAACTGTTAAAATTCGGTGTCAACACCAGAGTACGGTAAAACGGCTCTAACCTCAGTAGACGTTGACAAACTCTGTAGATTTAACAGAAAGGATCACCCAGCGCAGTAGAATAAGCTAATACCGGTGCACTTAACGAATAAATCGTCCACATGTGTCGATGGAAAGTCACCAGTCATTATGCGAAATGACGACGTTGATCCTGCATAGCTGAAAACGAGTTAAAATATAAAAACATCTTGCCTGAAGTGAACATTGTGACGGTCAACAATCTTCCAACTCTCAGTATTGCGAAAGGTCGAATATGAGCTGAATAGAATTCGGATGGACAAATCGATCTCCCAAAACGGCAGACCGCGTCATTCGCTGCATATCAGAACTGTTTTCATTTTCATTGGGTGCGTATACTACGTGTAAACCGTTGAAAGATAAGCGTTGTTTTTCGTACAGCACTTCAAGTGACTCACGAGGATTCTATTCTTTCGAATAAACACCAGCGATGAAATAACCGGGGCCATTCCGGTGCACAGTCCCAACGGCTATAGATCGACTTTGAATTTCTTCCCAGAATGTCCAACTAGGCGTAATCGAATGTTGACGAACAATAGAGGGACCGAACAAATATAGCAAAACGTAATTAGCCGGTCCATTTTTTTATATTCAGAACGATTTGCAAATGATGATTCGGTCAGTGCAGTACCAGCGGTGTGCTAAGTTGACCACGACGGAACGTCAGCAACCGAGTGAGGACCAAGTCGCCGTGAACGAACCAGAACCTGGATGTCCCTGTATCGTAGCTCGCTGGTATGGTACTACGCTGCGCATGAAGATCTATAAGTTCCACTGCTAAATGGAGGACACGAAGTGCGCAACACAATAACAATGACGAAATTGCCATACAAAGCTGATTGGGTTTTCAGTATTAGCTGGACAGTTTCCGTATGGACCAATTCACCCGCAATCGGAAAGACCAGTTCTCCAGAAAATTCAATGAATTATACGCTAGGCAAATACACCGCTAGAATAATAATAGGCGTGACCGGTTGGGCCACGCTAGCCTACTCGAAAGTGTTGCATGTACACTTACAAGGTTCATGAATACCCTATCCCCCTGAAAGATGCGACGCAGCCAATCCTAATCCAGTCGACAACAGCTCGTTGATAAGGTATGCTAGTTTATCAGTAATCTTCAAAACACCAACCATTTGAAGTGCTCAACCAAAAAGTATAGCTCACTGACAGCGGGCAATCTCACTGAGAAGTTTCCTCTTAGGAGTCTGATAGTGTCGTTCCCTTAGTTGTTCGAGGTTGTTTGCTTTACGGAGGTGTCATAGAGGGAGTTTTGTGCTATCAACTTTGTAAATGGTTATAGGATTCGTAGGATCACTCTCGTTCGAAAAGCCCTCCTCCGGTCCGGATCCAACTATTCTGGATAGTCGACACTCAAGCGGAGACGAACTGCACTACAACTTCGATCCTATTCGAGAGCTACGGCCGACGAATGCCCGATGCGAGTTATAGAGTTAAATTACAAGCCCACAACCTCCATGACTTCAACGGTCTCTCGCTAATCAGAAGTAAAACGAGAGCCAGCACTACTCACATACATGGTGCTGCCAGTCTGTACCGAAAAAACCGCGATGCTTGGACACAAATTAAGGATCTTGTGCATTTGCTTACCAAATCTAGCGTTATCTACGGTTTCACGTGCGCCAACGGGCCCAGGGACACAAGCCACACAACCAGGCACCTGTAACTTGAATCTCGAAACATGTCTCCCGACAGTTGTTAAACATGCGCCAATCGGGAAACAGCTACAAGAATCAGGGTGCACAATAACGGCGCGTTACGCCTGGAGGGTCATCCACAAAGCACGACTCCATAAGTAGCAGAAGAAAAGGTCTAATACCATGTATTCAAAGGCAAAAGTGGTAATCGTTGGTAGTGCGAAGGGATTTCGGAATTTTCAATGAAGATTTCGTCCCGCACGTGAAACCGTCCACTGCTTAAAGGCCGAGAAGCATGGTACAGCCTTACAGAGTATCATTAGAAGTGCGCACCTCACAAAACTCCAAGAAGTCGCACAACATGTGTCCAAGTGATGTGAATTCCATGTTTGAACGATGAGTAGCGCTATATCCTGTCCAAGTACAGGTTTATCACACTGTTGATCAGCCGTTCGTGGGCGAACTATTAAGTTTTCAAGCACGTTGGATCCACTTCCTGAAATGGCGGTCAACCATTAGTTTTGCTAACGATCCTGATATCCATATATTAAACGGACCATCGGGAAGTCAGATCCTTTGGTTAAAAACGATTAACCATGCATGGACTTACCGAGGGCCTGTAACGAAACCCCATCACCTTGAATCACACGTAAGAAAGGAGGAAGGACCTTGTAGCCTTTGGAATTCACCGTATACTTGAACTTCTCACCAAGGATGTCCAAAACTTTCGGGACCACTTTGATGGGGTCCCCAGAGTCTGGCCTAATAACCAATGTCCCATTTCGATTTTTCACCTACCAACAGGAAAGAGAGCAGAACAAGTGACATACTGAAAAACGTTCATTTTCACATAAAGTTGGTGTTAATAGGAGACTTGACTGAATCATAGTTGAATCATTGTATTTCGTCAATCGGGTACCATTTGGTGTTTATGCATAACATAAAGTTGACGGAAACTCTTAGACTGCGCCGACCTGATTATTCTCGAGAGCGAAACCAGTCGTCCTCTGTCAAAGAGTTCTCATCAACCTTATGAAAAGTGTTCCGTCAAAAAAAGTGAGATGCCCACTTTACAGGTTCAAAGGTGAGGCTTTCGCGATTCCGAAGGATCACTGATGTTCAGCCCGCATCTGTTACCCCATACTGCGGCCGACAGATCAAAACCGATGGTGCTGAAGGATATAGGGGGAGATGGACTATGAACGGAAATCAATATAAATTCTCGCACCTAATGGCTTTATCGGGACACACTGCACGTATTGAGAGAGATCTAGGAACGTTCCCTAAGAAGTATAGTGCCTAACGCAGAGAACTTCTATATGAAAATTCAATCCCATTCACAGTGGTCGTCCTGAGACAGTTAATGACTTAAGGATAATAACATCAGTCAACAATTGCGCTATGATGATCGGCCAGCAGTACTGGAGATCAGAATTGCCACTAGGAACGAACAATAGCTGCGGATTGCGCGGATGACTTGAAGAAAGCTCATTTCTTTTTCGGAAACAAGGTGTTGCACCATCCATTTTTTTGGTGCGCAGAGGCAGCTTCGTTACACGAAACTGACAATAAGTTCGTGAGACCCACGGCAAAAAAATAACAGCAGCAATATTTCGAACTAAAAACAAGACGCTTCTTTCGTCGATCCACTCTAAAATTCAAGAAGTATGCTTCTAGCTTGAAAACTGGCGACCCGACCCCGGGGCTGAGTGGCGATTCACACGAGGATCCTATAGGTTGGGCGGGGCAACATCCCATCAAGAGTGCAGAGTTCAAGGCCAATTCAAAAACTCGCGAGAGTTGCACTAGTTTACAAGGTGTTTTAGACAAATGACTAAGAGTTCTCAAAATCTTTGTTGGCGTGTCAAAAGAGGCCTGATTGTATAGTAGTATAGTATAGTTATTCAACCAGGTGTTTCGTAGTCCGCGGGCCTACTGTTTCACTAGCTTAGAAAGAGAACCGGGAAACTGGTGAGTACTCCATTTTGTAGTTCACCAAATTGTTGATCTTAATGATGACTAATCACCCGTCCATCTTTCAACGGAAGCAGCGGGACGCCATCTGATGAAGAGGCTTTATGACAAGATTGCGAGCAAAATTCTGGTGAATGAGATCCTCAGGTAGTGGATCAGAGTCTTCATACCACTAGATTCCTGGTGACGATGGCGATCCGGAAGGCCAATTAATCTGGCCCTCGAATGGCTTTGTTCAATGTGTTTGGCCTGGTTGACAGATTGTAACAGAGTCTCATCAGGTAAGTAAAGTTCGTTGAATGGAAGTATGCAGGCGTTGCGCGAGAATGACCAGGCTTCTGTTTCTGACACCCATTGGGACTACTACAACACCTTGTTCTAAGGACTGAATTACATGCCACTGATCATGCTTTGACAGGCCTAATGCAAACGTGTACCTTAGGAAGGCATGTAGTGCGTCACAGACGTACACTAGGTTTCTTTGCAGGAGTTGCAACCAAAGTGGGCATTAAATCCTCCGGGAATGCTCACCGAATGAAACAATTAATTTGTTCAGTATTACGACTTCAGGAAGTGCTGCAATTCGTCCGACTAATTTCGTGCAGACAATATCTAAAGCATACGCTCCAAAACAGTTTTGGATTGACATCTACCAATGATCGATGAAAGCGAGCCCTATTTGGTTTGATGAGCTATAGGCATTAAGCAGTAACACAGTGAGCGCCATTTAGGAAGCAATACAAAGACAGTCGACTAGCTGCGTTCAGCTGAAATGATCATTCTTTGGTTTTGTTACTTCTGCTATCGACCGAGTGTTATTTACCTTGGATAGTCTTATTTCGACTCGGAACAGCAAACGCTGCAAGCCTGCCTGTTCTGTTCATAGTAGGCGAACAAAATTGGTGTTTCAATACGGTACACATCGCAGCTAAACAGTGTGGGCGTTCGCTGACCACCTACACGAAGTTGGTTGTCGCGTGGCTTGGAAAGAATGTCTCAGAACTTCACACAGAACTAGAAGCTTGTTAGCACAAGTCTACAACTAACTAAACAGTAGATGGGTTTCTGAAGGCTGTAAACAAATATTTAGAAAAAAAGAGTCTAGCGAGAGAGTGCAGCACGGTTAAACCATAATCTACGCGGGCCCAACAGTAGGTTTGGAAAAGCCAGCTGCGGGCCATGGTAGCTGGCTTACAACCCCGGACAACAGCGAACGGTTGCTGCACTTATGTGCTGACTGTTTCTATGCAGTACTAAATTCATCATCATCACCATCAACATTAAAGACAGAAACATCAGTGTTGACACCGATGCTTCACTGCCATACAACCATAAAGTTCATCGAATTATATTTAAATCCCTAGAGTGAAGAGAAAAAGAGTGGGTAAGGGAGAGGAACTAGTGTTGGCCTATGTCAAGCATTCTGGTGTCTACATCTCCGAGCGCTTAATCAGAAAACCTGGAAAGAAACTGACAGTACGAACGCCACTGATATCGATTGGCCGCCATTCATTGGAACGTCTTCAGCCAAGCACGGGTATGGTCACCGGGCCCCATCCTGAAAGGCGTACAACATCAACAACACCCAAACTTTTCGTGATATTTTTCACGCCCTTTTGCCAAGTAATGCGTCGTCCGCCTTGCTGGTTTGTGCCATCCCGAAAGAGGCACGGAGAACAAAACTCGTCTCGGTTGACGGTATTTCGGTATACGGGTACTAAATTCCGAAACAACTGGAACCACTTGGCCACATGGTGCCCCTGCATGCGAGTCAACATCAAATACAGATAGATCACATCACCATTGGCAATAGGCGGCATGGGCAAACCACCGACTGTCACTCGTTATGGAACACTTGGGTGGATTCAGATCACGCGCTTATTCGTTTCTGTTTCTAGTTGCGTTTTTTTCCGGAGTGTCCAAGATGCACATACCTCATCTGGCCATTCAGCTCTCTGACCCTGATGTGGAGCAAGCCTACCGAAACAACCTACTGAATTTCCTTTCGATGTTGAATCTTTCTGGAAGGTACCGTTTGCAACCTTGTAACTTGCTGGGCGCTCTGCTTGTGGAACAGCGCGACCACATAGATCGAAGCACTGGATCTCGAGCAACACTGAAAGTGCTCGAATCTCGGAGTGGAGTGCAATACCACTTGACGATCTGTCAGATGTCAGCAGAACAGAGTATCTGCACGAATCGAGAAGCTTGGGTGATCCAGTGTGGCGGTTAATTCCTTATTCCTTCAACTAACTTCACTTAATTTATCTAGTACATCCGTGCTCACTAGATCACGCGACTCCTTTGTTCCGCAAATGCACAAATCACGTGACAAAACCCTGTCCCTCTCGCAACCTAAACTGACAAGTCTGTTCCCGTCTTGTACGCGTCGGAACGATTGGAGGTATTATAAACGTGTCAAACCTTCCTATATATGGGAAGACACGACGGTCATTTCACACATACTCGTGCGCGCAGAGGGCAGGGGTTAACCAAACTCTTTGAGTCCGCAAACAATTACGGAATACGTGTAGCCAACACGTTACGGTCGTCCGGACTTTCACCCAGGAACTCTCACCATAAGTCACCTTTTGACTTGTTCCATTGTTTGCACTGTATGTGTTTTACCATGGTGCAATAAGTAACTGTAACCATAGTAAAAACTGTTATTAGTGCATACATCTTCTGAGTCACATTATGGCTATCGCAAACCGCGCACTAATAATTGGTGAGCCCGACGTGACAAACAACCGACGTATCTGACGTGACAGTTGGCCGTTTCTATTACGTTTATCTATACGTCATTCACACTGTGATTAAGCGCACATGATTCGCCATGCCAAGTTCTCTGGTACGAGAGAAACCTCGAACTTCTATTGCATTAACACGCAACACCAATGCCGCGTCTGTCCACATTCCATCATTTTGGCATTACTTCATGCATCCGTTCGCCGACCGATCGCTCCATCAGCAATGTACCGCCAAGTTTTTCAATGGTTTACATAAAGTTTCAAACCCCGGCGTACATTCATCTCTCAAACTCACTATCCAACGTTTCGTATGGTCGGATATGACCAAAGATATACTTTAATGGACAAAAACTTGTCTACAATGTCAACGTTCAAAGATAATTCGCCATACTCCTGGGCCACTCCGGACTAGCGATTCGACCATGTTCACCTCGACCTTTTTCAGACCCTCTGACGGTCAAAAAGTGAACTTCATTCAAAAAAAGATGAAATCCTCTTTGATATTCCACTAGAATAATCATCCTGACTGGGGAATTTTGAATTTTTCGTTGCGTGAAGGACAACTCCGGAGATTCATCAGCTTTCCATACCAAATACTTGCCCATGCTATTTTTATCTTTTAATTCAAACTTGCGTTACCAATGGGAAAAATATTTTGTTGCTTACTGGTAACTGACACGGGAATGAAATTCCACGCCTTATTTATTATTTTGGAGATTTAAGTGCTCATATCAAAACCCTCCGCTTTCACTTATGTTCCTACTCCAGTTGGATAACTCAGACCGTTGGACAAACAGAGGGAAAACGAAACACATAGTTTCGGTCTTACCATAAACTTATTGAACAGCCCACTCGTCCCGTGAAACTATTTAGAAGTCAGCCACGCCCACATGCTGATGATAGCGGACGGGTGATCTGATTTCATTGCTGAGTGATACCCTGTTACTACCGAATATCGGTCCACGTTCTGTATTTACAACGGGACTACAGAGAAGCATCCGTTTTATTACACAAATCCGAATTAACTGGACAACAGTGCCAGCGCAACGTGCGGCACATTGACAAAACACTCTGGCTTGTTCCTTCGTTTGAAGCTAGGCATTTCCTTCGTTAAAGCGATTTTTTAGCTATAATAGCGCACACCGATCACCACACAAAGTAGTGTACTCTTAGCCAGTGACCTAGCAAGGGGGGTTAACAATTCCTTCTGGAAGAAAACCCTCAAGGGGGCAAAACAACTGGGCAGGTCGCAATGAATAACACTCACTTGAACCCGTAATTTTTCTCCCCATATAGATTCACAAGCGTTCCACACGTTATAGCTATCCGAGACACAGGCGAACGTCCCAGTAGGGTAAATATCCAACAGATGTTTGTAAGCATCAACTTCGCATTCTTCACCCCATACGGTCATTGTACTGCAGAAATAAGTACGAAGGTAAGAAAAATAGCTAATGACGACTAACGGAGAAAACAACGGTGGCTGTTTGAATATAAGGCAAGCAGCATAGTACAGTGTGATCTGAACGAAAAACAGTTATTCCAGAACGCTACCATTTCGCAAAGAAAACCGAATTCGTGAAAGAGCGATAATTCAGCAAGCTATATGTAATTACAGTAGGTTTTCTTCGTCCCAGCTGTTTACTACGAGCGTTTTGTCCAGGAGAGCCAAGTTACAAACCTTCGAGAGTAGTCCTATAGGATTTTCAAATGTAGCATAAGCGAAATCAGTGTGGTCTTGCACAGATCTCATCTTCGTGTATCCAAATTTTAAACGGTCACTTAATAATCTTCTCCATAAATCGCATGCTGTTGTGATGAAAGCTTCCGTATGTACTTCGTATGTCAGCATCATAAAATCTGGGGAAATCTCTCAAACAGGTTGTTGAGATCCCTCCAAAAAAACCAAACTTATGGCAAAGCTCACACAGAACAGAGTTTGCAACATTACATCTAACCAAACTAACCAAGTGACGCTTAGTCCTGACTACTGGTGACACGTGCCTTGACAAGTGCGGGGTTATAGCCACCTGAAAGTTTTCTGAACACTGAGAATATTGCTTTGCCAACAGTCACTTATGTTGCTATATCAGATGATGGTATCAATACCCGCACTGTCGTCTCTTATAACTTTAGGTGGCAAAAATATCTTTCTGGTTTCTTCTAGTGAAAGTCGTAGAACAGTAGAACCATTCTTACTAAAGCACAGAGGGTTACATTATTGACTGCTCTTTGTTTTTCTGTGTGCAACATTCATGTCTGTCTCTCCCGGCCGGATTTCAGCTCACTAAACCATAGCCAGTTGAAACGATTTAGACTATTCAACCTATTCATTGGGGTCAGTAGATTGGAACTACAGCATCACCGTTCTCTATGCGGAGGATATAGTCGGATGCTGCATTTTCGAAGGCATTCCAGGATTATCGATTATGACATTTGCCGAAGAAGCAATGAACAAACCAAGTAATACGTTCGGTCTTTCGGAGTTTTCTGCCAATGACCATTGATTTTCAATGAATCATTTTTTATGCAGCAAGAATTTGAACGACCCACGGATTGGCCCGTCCTGAGCTAAGGGTCTAACCTCAATTCATAAAGGCTCCCCTTAGAGGGACCCATAATACTCGTTCCAAAATGTCAGAGTTTCTGGCCACACTTTAACCAATAATCTTTTTCTCCCATTTTTTTTACTAAATTATTTGTAGAATTTCAGAACATCCTGTCCCGCCGGGTTTCGGGAATCGAACCCGGCTGCCGAGACCCGTGCCTTCCGTTAGAACTTTTTGGGCATATCATTGTTCACGTACGCAACAGCAGTATTTCAATTCAAGGCCTGGTACTGTTGAAAACGTTACACTTCTGTGAGAGTAGCGCCCAGAAATCTATCCTAAACTGAAAGTGGACATGACATCTCCTAAGTCTAAGTGGTGTTTGCAAATTTGAATAGTTGGATAATTTATAAAACCCAGGGAGATGAAATAATACGGCTTTGTTACCATACCATTTCGATTATTAACCCTTCTTTAAATATAATTTTCACCATATCTATACCATATGGAAAAATGTGGGTTGTTCTTATGTGTCGAACATTTTTCCAAGCAGGTTGATTCAAACCACAAGGAGAGTTATGGATCATGTGCTTCAGAACCACGTTTCCATCAGCCACTTTTGGTTGCACCAATTTAGCACACATCTCTCATCCAACAACAGTAAATGAGCCAAGCCCCCTCTGTGACGTTCTAGACTCAGTCGCACCTGATACATCTAAATAACAGCATTAGTTCAAATGGTATCCAACGAAAAACGGTTCAGTTTTGTGTCACCTCCCACATCGATATGAATGGTAATATTGAATCACCGGATCTGATTGCCGTAACCAGGGTTGACGATATTTATACTCCAGAAACAGGATATTCGTGAGCAAATGTTAAATTTTGCTGGATCAGCTGTCTATTTTCCAAGTGACTTATCGGAAGTCTCGACCAATAGGTTCTCCAACGTGTTACAGTATGCATAAGCGTTCTTTGGCAGCATGAATCCATCAGCGGCCACACAAAACGTCACTTTAAAACAAGCATTCCGGAACAGCATTATGAACAGAGCTTCTAAGCATAGTAAGGAGGGCTTAAATTCACCATTTGTACTGATCCATTGAAATGCAGCTTGATAACACTAAGTGGTTCGCTGACCGAAAGGTTTGATCGTCAGACTCAGTAGAGTTAGGTACGGGTAGCAGCCACTCAAGTGAGAACACACACCCAAAAGGTGATTCACACAACGCAAGAGCATCTGGAAGTAAGGCTGTATAATCTGGTAAGCACAAAAAACTTAGCCTTATACGATTACCCACCACCAAAGCTATGTGGACGAGGCAAGCAGCATTGGAGTGATCTCAGACGATGATAGAGTAGGTGGGAAGTTAGGAACGCTAAACACTTGCATCGCACACACGAGACGCGATCCGAAAGGCTGCCACATGTGCATGTGTGTTCCTAGTGCCACTATGAATAACAGACCCGGAAAGTCGGGGTGGATATCAAATAAAATGTGCAAACAAAAAGAGGAAATTCCTCATATTTGTGGAGTCTTTGAAGTGCCACTGCACTGTACTGGCAACTCAATTTAGCTCAAGATTTATAGACAGTAAACGCAACGTTTTCTCTGGTTCGAAGTCATCCCTAGAAATTTAGTAATACGCAGATGTTCCTGAGCCGAAGATGGGCTGGAAATAGCACCAAGTGATGGTGTTTCCGATGAAGAGATGAGGGTTTTTTCGAGAAATTTCTAATAGTAAAGCTCTTGGGATAGTGTCATTTTGGGTTTTAAAAAGATCTATGAAATCTCACAAAAGCTCATACAAGAAAGAAGTTAAATATCACTAATGGGGGTTCGCACTGAAGGATTGAGATAGACCTAAGGGCTGTGGTCTCGGAATATGGAAGAGTGGGTTCAAGCAAAAAAAAACCGGATACGAAGGATGACGTCTCATTTTGGTCGCGTTGCAAAAAGAATATGTTCACCGGATGGCTCAAAATGAAGACCACTGGATTGAGTGGATAACCCTCAAAGGGGGGTGAAATACTGGTAGAGAGCATTAATTCGGTTTGTCCCAACCCTTTCATTCATAATGTGATGACACATAATAAAGCACAAGTAAGATGGTTCTGAGGGTAGCCAATGTTTTTGCCTAGTTCGTGGGTAAAAAAGCTCGACAAAAAACTAACCTGTGTTCGGTGGCCGGGATACTGACCCCAGCCATTGGACAGTGGTAAAAACTCCGAGCGAGCATGACTCCTGCTAAAGTATCGGTTCCCCGAAAGTTGACCAAATGTGCTGCTCCACCAAGAGCTGCGGACTGTAAATGAGGGCGTGAAAAGTCAAGAACCTATGTGCGTGTACGTGTGGAAATACACAGCAAGCGAAATTAACCGAAGGCTACAGAGCGATAGACTAAGAATAACAAAGGAAACGTGCATGACCAGGTGTTAAAGACTGCGTGTTGTGAGGCGATGTGAAAACTGGCATACATAAGCGCTGTGTAATTCGACGGTTCAGCAATCAAAACCATATGTTACATTCTCGATTGACGCAGTCAAAGTCCAGCTAAGCAGCCACCCACAGAAGATAGAAAAAGTGCGGTGTGGCTGGACATGGTTGCCTAAACCGGACGTTGTGACTGGTGTGTCGGTAACGGTACTCGGGGACATT